GCCATAATTTATTATCATCTTTATAATTATATCATTTGTCAATAAAGTTGCAATTAGAAAAGTCTTTATGTGAAAGGATTTAATTTTAAGTGAATTACTATCTGCTTTATAATTATTATACCATGTACTCAGTATATAAACATTGAGGACTGCTCATAATATATTAAAAATCTCCTACTTTATACATTAAATAAAAAACCTTGTTATTATTTTTTAAAAAAAAATATATAAATAAATCCTACAAAAATATGATTAACCTTTTATCATCAATTCTTATTTCATATTCTTCAAAAGTGAGGAATCTTATCAGAGTTCATTATGCTAAACTCTCATTTTTCATTCACAATAATTCAGGTCTAAAATACATATTTGACATAATTATTAGATTATTTAGAATGCATTCTATTGTGTTAGTAGAGAAATGGTAAAGGCTTCTTTAGAAGATTTATTAGATTTGAAGTATTTGATGCAACAATTGAGTCATAAAATAAAAAGGACAATGTAAAACGATCAATTTAATAAGAATTGAAGAAAATATTTTTATCCAATTACACACATTTGTTGGTGAAACATCATCATTGGAATCATCATTGGAGTCAACTTGTCATCCCGTCGTTTTCATCTTGTGTTAGATCTAGAAATATTTGAATCATTAACAAAAATTCTGAAAAATCCATAATTATTTATCATTAATACCTGCGAACAATACTTGCGTAAACAATTAAGTCGTTTTTCACGTTAAAGCTAACTAAGGAATGTTTTGATCGATAAGTTGTTTATACATGGATTTCTCGCGGTTATTCTAAGAATTTAAAGATATTAAAAATATTCTTCTTTAGCATAATAAAAGAATGCCGAAAAGCCGGAGGCAACGTTGCTTAACTTTATTTGGAAAGAGTTTGAGTTTTCAATTGAATGATCGACAGCATTTTTGTGGGTCTAGAATAAAATTGTCATAAAATGTTCGATTTGTCTCATTTGTCATTTTTTTTTTATTATATGAAGTGACGCGTCAAAATTCATCATATATAACCTCACCTTTTTATTAAACGCTTCAACAATTTATTTTTTCACTCTTATACAACCCAAATAAATGGTGACGCTTGAACTGCGTGGTTTTTATTTTTTATTTATTTATTATTTACTTTATGGAATAAAAATAAAATAAAAGAAATACAAAAACGCTTTTTTACGAAAGGTGAGTTTTTAACTCCTTATTTGTTTCATTGGTGAACGAACAGTATTATCATGCAAAAACTGAGAACACTTGTCCTGTGTGACCTCCTCTCCCTTAGCGTATACTAAATTAGTAAAAAACCTATTGTTTTACTTCCAGGTTTAGGACAGACGTTCCATTACTCCTTTTCGATCTATTATGTTCTAACTGAAATTTGTTGCAATCAATGACCAAGGGTCAAAAATTTATTCTGAAAAAATAATATATTTATATGTAATAACTTTCAAATCTGTTACAATTTTTAATTAAAATTATTTAATATCTTTAAAATTAAATACTTTTTCTGCGAATCTCCCGTAAATGTTTGTATCATGTCAAATATAAATTATTCTCGTTTGTTTTTTTGTAAAAAAAAAAAAAATTCCATTATTAATCTATTGTATAACTGTGAATAAATTAATATTAAATTTTTTAGCGGGAAAAAGTCTCCTTATTTTCTTGAAATAAGCTTTGTATGAATTTCTAAAACCATAAAATATATGTGTATGTACTTGTTAGTTTATTAAATTATATAGAATTTCTGTATAGTATTTTTATAAAATATGTAGTTTTATATAAAGGTAATAATAATGTTCTGTGACACACTCAAAAATTTACATTTAACCAGGGCCAAAACGACATGTACAGTATATATGTATTGTAACAATAATGTATTTTTATTTGTATTATTTGTTTTATTATTTTATTTTGTATCCATGTACAGTAGCGGCTGGAGGTATTAGACATAATTGTACCCACTTTTGGGCTTTAATTAGGCGCTTCAGGAAGGGGGTCGTTGGTAGCTACTCGTGATGTCCCTTGCAAAACAGAGTTCATGAGCAGGGTCGCTTCTCGCTTTCTGAACAATCCCTTGGAGTTATCACCATCGCAATGCTCTGTTTCATTGAATGTGTAAGTTATTTGTATTTACTGTATTTATTTTTTGATCTTTTGATCTTGCCATATGAGTTGGATAATTCTATATATGTATAATTTTTAAATAATTTTATAATCCAAGATGTAAAATATGTGAGTAATCTCAAAAAATAAAATAAAGGTTTGTTTTATAAAAAAAAAAAAAAGAAGAAATTTATAAGTTCATTTTATGAATAAATTTGTGCGTGATCCAATATTGTTCGAAGAGTCGTGAAAGACAATAAATATTACCGCATTTCTAAAAGCGTCAATCTAGTCACTTCATTAATTATGGCTTCAGCGTATTCGAAATTTTTCAATATCTTCAAAAGTAATTTTACGAAAGTGTTTGACGAGAGAATCACATTGATTTCATCAAATAGCCTTTTTTCACATGGGAAACTTACACAAGTAATGTGATAAACCTATTGAACTTAAACGTACTTAAACGTAAACGTCTACAAAAAAAAAAATTAATTTATCAACTTACACGCAATTATACATTTTTTTTTTTAAAAAAAATTATTAGATAATTAATGAAAAAGTTCTTTAATTAACCTCAACTTTTCCATTAAAATAAAAAAAAACATTAAGAAAATTTTTTTTTTATTAAAATGAATTACTAGTCTATATATATCAACTTCATAAAATCTAGAATTTTAAAAAATCTAGCGGAAATTTTTTTTTATATCTTAATAAGACAAAAATATTTGAAAACCTAAAATAAAGATGTTGAATATTAACGTATTAATAACTTAAATAACTCTTTTTTTTCTTACACAGGAATGACGCAAATTTCATGATTATTTACGAATTAATTATAAAAGAGGAAAAAGGAAAGATGTAACAATCTTAAGATGACGAAAAGCAGTATTGTGGTCTAAATGCGAACTAAACTTTTCTAAATATTCGTAATAATTGCCTCACCGGCAAAGTTCCTATCGCTGCAAACGAAAATATAAATACTTAATACAATTGTAATACGGCAAATCCAAAAAGAACTTTTGAGAATAATCGGCTGTGAAAAAATTATGAAGAAGAAATATGACAGTAAGAATCGATGTTATTTTATTCTTTTATCTTAATGCTAATCACCGAAAGTTATGATATATCTGATTTCACTTGCGGAACTTGGATAAATCAGTAGTTTGTGCGACAATTGAGACCCTAATTCGTATTTTCAAACTTTCCTAACCATATGCACTGTATATTTATATAAGGCATTATGTTATCAGCAATTATAGAGAAAAAAAATACCAAAATACTTTTCCAGAAATTGTTCGCCATATTCACAGAAGAATTAAAAAGTTCCATATTTGGTCAATCCAGTAAGATATCCGACACGTGATAGGCTTTATCTCAAGTACGATAGGAAATTTGAAAGAGTAATTTCCACCTGGTATTGGTACATTCTACGCAGAGTTGTAGTTTCAGTCTATACATAAAAAAATTTTGCATGACATAATTTTTCTTTTTATTTTCAGCTTCTTATTCATCCCCAAAAACAAATTAACCACCGGTAAGTCTTGATTTTTGATATCTCATTTTCGTAATATCATAATTGCTATGATTGTCAAATTGGCTTTTCCTTGACTTAAGCAGCGAATCTCCTTTCTTGTAGAAAGGACTTCAGACCAGCTTGTGCAAATTTTTATCGACAAATCAAACGTTGACGTACACCTAGATTGCATGGTGATGCGTGCATTATTACAGAATTCAGGTATATTTGTATTAGTTCTAATCCAAAAAAGTAAATTAGAAGATCGAAACATGGTTCTGGTCTAAAGTAATGAAAGTATTATTTGTTCGTATTTCGGGCACATGAGTAAGCGTTAACCAATTTGTTTTCCATATGAATATCAAATCACTTTATAGAACATTCGACTTATGTATCGTTGGATGATGACTATAAGACTTTCGCATATGCCACTGGACAATTCTTTCTATACTCTTAAAGGTCAACGGCATACAATTAAGAATTGGAGAATCGACATAGTTATAAAGCTCTTAAATTATTTTGTTGTTGGCACCGATTTCCGACACGAACGAATTGTATTTTGATGATGAACATCAGTTGCAAGATGAAGAAAAATGGTAATTCTGTAAATAAAAAGAGATGAATGAGGTCTCGCTTTAATAATAACCGCGCCCTGTAACGAATAAATAATCAGGAAGCAACTCAAAATTTAGAATTTAAATCATCTGCTTTATGGTACTAGGGCATTCAAATGATGGAATTCCCTCTTTTCTCTTTTAATGAATTTTAGTTTAAATAACATTTAAAATTTTTTAATATTTGATTGTCTTCAAATTATTTTCGATTAGAAATAAATGCCGGTAAAGCACCGAAATACTACTTTGCTACGCGTCGGTAGTCTTTCCTACTAAATAATTTCATAAATTTTTAAATTGATTTTTTTTTTATTGTCAACAATAAGTATTTGTTTTCGAGACTTCCTAAAAAAGAAATAGTCTATGTCGAAAATTTTCGATTGTAATTACACTTCCCAAATATTATTAAATAATTTAACTATGCACAAACATGGTGAGAAAATTTTATGATGAAAAAGCATATTTTCCTAGTAAATTAGTTTTCAAACATTTTAAATCATTCGTTAGTAGTACTTCCTTTTATGAAAATATAAAGATAATCTAATGCATGAAAAGAAAAAGTCTAAAATCAGGTATTAATTGACTGATGCTCATATTTTTTTTAAAAAAATTTATAGATTTATTTTAAATAAATTTTTATACATTTAGAGAAAAATTTAAAATAAATCAATTGTGTTTGTCTTTCAAAAAAGAATATAAAGAATAAAGGAAGGTGTTAGCATCCATATTGAAATGTTCTTCTATAAATATTTATAAATTAATTCTGCTTAACAAGCTCAATGCACCACTAAAGAAAAAGATAACATTTAAATCTCAATATGTGCTATACAAAATTTAAATAAAAGTAAAAAGTACAGTAAATACCTCATCATTACCTCCTAACCTTTCGTTATGACAAACAACCTCTTGAAAAGTATCGTTATTAATAGTAAATTGAAATTCATGACTACGTAAAAATAGTAAAGAATTGTTACTTAGATTAATAATATCGTTTGATCTTAAATATTCTTTTGAATCCTCTAATTTACAATTCCTCAAATTCCAATTATATTTATATTTAGTACAACAAACTAAAAAAAAAATTAATATTTTAGAATATACCTTTAAAAAAATAAGTTAATAAAATATTAATGGTTACCTTCTGTGTGCCCGGTTGATGGAGATTTAGCTTCATAAGAATAAAATCCAAGATAAAGGTTAGAATTTTTGTGTAGTATAGATATAGTAGTGTTGTTGGTGTAAGAAGCTAATTCTGGATTACTAAAATGCGAATTGTTAGTAAGGATTGTCCATAAACCATTCCGATCAAGTACTAAATTACTTGCAAAAACCTAAGTAATGATAAGAGATGCTTTCATAAATTTAATTTTATAATAAACAAAGTTTGTCGTTATAAACAAGCATACCATTTGAGAATTACTTCCAGTTGTGTAATTCAAACTTCCAATTGAACTCAAGTATTTGCCTGTAGCCACATGTCTTAAGGCTACGATGGAATTATGTCTAATTAAATTCGATTCTTCCATAACAATTTCCTCAAATTCTTTAATTAATTCATTTGTAGAATTAATTTTCTCTTTCCTTTTAGAAAATTCGGTTAAAAAGTAATTATTTGGAAGTGATTGATAAAGGTATTTCTTTTGTTCTTCCACTTCGATTCTGCATTATAACATAATTTACGAAAATTTGAAATGAACTTTAAAGTTTCTCCACCTTCTCTTTCGGGAATATATTGTAATAACTGCAATTTCCTTTTATTTGCATTTTTGAATATTGTAAACGAAATGTCATCTTTGAGTGCCTTACGAAGTTTTTCAATACCATCAATTCCAGTTGGGAGTTTGATAGTTGCGTCAACTAATGGTATAATAAAATACCATACAAAAGAACTTTGTTTAAGATGAAAATTACAATAATTTTGAATATCTTTTAACCATTCATCTGGATGAATATTTCCATCATATTTTGTAAGACTCATTTTATTAAGTGCAGTTCATTCACTTTTGGCTTTTGAAACAATACAATTAAAATATAAAAATTATGTACGCCATTTTCCATTTCAGGATTTTTGTGGCCTAATTTGGTCAGGTCAGCTGATTACGTTTTGAATCACAAGACAAAAATAAAATTCTTTAATAAGATTGATTTGGATATGATATCATACCAGAGTTGTGCCAAGATGTTTGCCTGGCCTGGAAATGCTTAATTTCTCCATCAAATTGATAGAAATTTTTTTGACCTTATCAGTTATTAGTTAAAAAATATATTAGGATTACATGCCTCTAGATCAATACTTAACTCATTATGATAAGGTTAAAGAAATACGCCCAAACAATGTTTTAGTTCAAAAGATTAACCATAATTTCAACTTTATCACTTTGACGTTATTAGAATATTTCATTTGTTATCTAATTTCATGAATTAAATGCTAGAAGTTGGAATCGATTTTATTTTTAAGAACCAATTTTATCCATTTTTTAAAATAAACATTTTGTAAAGTTAAAATTTATTTATTTTATTTTTAAACCAGTTGCATTACATGAATTACATGAAAAAATTTAAACATAAACATTAAATTTCTTTCAAAATAAAATATTGTTGCCTGGCAAAACTCTTTGGGCTTTAACGGGGTCGTTGGCAAAAATATAGTAAAATCTTATTTGCAAAACCGTTAAAACTCGAAACCATAATAAAAGTCAAAACTATATTAAAAGACTTATTAACAATCAGTTGCCATTTGCTAAAATGAGTTTTGTCAGGTTACTATAAAATAAAACCTGGTTACGTCTAGCTAAAATCTAATAATAATCTCTTACTAGGTACATAATCAAGGTAATCAATAAAAATTATAATGAAAAATTTTATTCACATCTCCAATAATATCTCTGAAAAAGTAATTTCTAAATTTTTTTTTAACATCCATTAAAATTACATTGACAATGAGGTGAGGTAATATTCAAAATAAGGAACATCACATAGAATTCATTGTTTGTTGATATTGGTTTAGTGAAAAAGCGGACAACTTTATAAGAAAACTTGTTATTTCGTTTTTCCACGATTAATTTCATAGGTTAAAAATTAATCCAACCAATAGGTCAAAAATTTTAATGATATTGTGTTGATTGAATATTTACAAGCATCGCATCTAAAGTATTTTTACCATACTATTTATACTTTCGCGTAACTTATTCTTGAATGTAGAAGGGAAATATTCTTTTTTTCACATATAGTATAATCCTGATACAAAAATATGATTGATGTTATAAAAAATATGATTCACCGCATGTAATATTCAATTTATAATAAAGTCATTACTGTTTTGTCTTTTGAGAATCTCTAATTTTCTGAATTATTAATATTTAAACTCAATAACGAAATTGTAAAAAAAAATTTGCCATATTGTGATGGTTAAAACAGTTTTTTTATGTCTGAAGTTGGAATTCAGATAACAAAAAGGGTATCTTAAATTGGAATTCCAATTTCAGTTAACTGAACTTGGAATCTCAATTTCAGACAGTTGAAGATTATCTGAATTCCAACTTCAGACGAAAATCAATTTCAGTCACAACAACAAAAGTTTCTGCGACTGATGCCTTACGTTCATTCTTAACTAGAATTGTATCTGCTTCGATGTTTGAAGTTTCTCTTATCTAAATAACAATAAGAAAATATCATTCTGAAAATATAATAAAATATAAAAATAATGTATATTCTCCAACTTGCTTGTTTCTTTTATCAATGTCACCCTTATATTAGCTTCAGACAGTCAACCCTTACTTTTTATACTTTCACACGACACACTAAGTGAATCAAATTTGGTTAATTCAGTCAAAATAATAAATATTTTTTACCAGGTAAGCAATCAGATCTTGTGCAACTTAAAAATGAAAACTTTTAGGTGGTTTATGACATTAACATATCATCTCTATTCTCATTTCCTTGATATGTTTCGTAAAATTGCGTTATAATTATTTTTTTTTACAGCAAAAATGATTATAGAAGAGATTTTTTTAATAAGTCGTTTAGTCACTTATTAGAGAGAGGTGTTGACTTTTTTCATGATATTTCATTTTCATTTTTTTATATTTTTTAGGTTTTCGATAGCTTCAGTTTGTTGATTATTCTTCTTTTAATGTTTCGATCGTTTCATTTACTATACTATTGGCTTTGATTATTTTTAATATTAAATCATGAACTTTCGAAAATGTTACTCTATAAAAAGTTACATTTTTTTAAAAAATATACTATAGCAAATATATATTATTTTATAACTTTTAAATTATATTTTTTTAATAAAATAATATATATATGTTAACATTTTAAATCTCCTTTTTTTTAGTCATTTTCGAAAATTCATGATTTATTAGGCTTTTTTCTCATTATTTTTCGATTTTTCTTCTTTTTTGTTTCTAGGTTCCTCTTCAATTTTTATATTCGAGTTATGTGCATAAATTAAATCACGGTAACTTTGTTGATTTTGATCTTTTCCTTTTATGGTTTTAGAATCCTCTTTCGCTTCGAGAATAGGTAAGTACTTTTTTCTATTGTTATTGATTGTAGATTGATTTTACATATTTTTTTTATTATTATTCTCTATTGAACCAAATCTTTATAAACAAGTAGCAGCCAGGCATCATATTGAGCAATGAAAAGAATAATTAAAAACTGGTCGTGACTAAGTCAACTTAATGTGATTTGATTTTGAATTTTATTCAATCTTCAACGAGAAAAAATTTTCTAAGGTAAAAATTATATTTGTTTTTTTATTAGAGTTATGCTTGGTTGCAATTTTTAATATATATATTTTTTTTTAAAATAAAAATTAAAGAAAAAATCGCTTTTATTTCACATTTTCTCTTTTGGAAAAAATATTACTTGTTTCAATTTCTAATTTCTTCGTTTTATTATATCATAAAAATATTATAAATAATATACTATTTAGTTCTATAGTGTTATACAAAAATAATTCTGCTTGTGAGACAAAGTCTCCCCGAAAATTGAATTTCTTATTATAAACCTTATTTAATTGAGAATTATCTTTAGCTACCGGAAAATGTGTTGTTGTTTCTAGCACAAATAAAGCAAGTAATGATAGTTATCATTAGGATTAGAATAAGGATAATATTTATAAGGACAATTATAAAAAGAATATCAAATAAATTATTGCATGAAAAGCTGTTGCACCGTAGTATTTAGTTCCTTGATCCTACTTTAATTTATGGAATTTTAATTCCACTGAAAAATTATCGATCTAATAAAATTCGAACAAAGTATTACTAAAAAGATGATCGCAAGGGATTTGAAAGAATAATCACCACTGAAAACATAGTATTCCAAAGTTTGGAGGTTTCAAAATTAAATTGAAACGTGTTACTTATTTTTATTTAGATGTAGCAACTCGAACGCTCGGATATAGTCCGGGTCGGGCCAAAAATTCGATGCGAAATTTAATAATTCAATTGCGACGACGCTTAGTTTGAATAATCATCATTTTAAAGGGTAGAATCAGCGGCGGAATTCAATTTAATTATAATTTTTGCCAGAATTATAAAAATTCCGTTACTTTGAACCCGGACAAGTCTCTACTATAAAAGATGATATGAATGCCAATATTCAGAAAATATATTTTACAATATTTTTTGACCACAATAATTTGTCACTTGCGTGGGAAACTTGGCGGTATCCAATGAAAAAGTTTTGAATATTTAATAAAAGAAATGAAAAAAATTGGCATAGGGATAGATTTCTCGGAAAAAATAATTTTTTATCATTTGTTCCGTTATTTTTGTTTCTTTCTACAGTTCCGTCGTATTATTTTTATTTAGGGAATTCGGTAAATGATTGGAAAATAAACTTATGGTGTTACACTTGCAAAAAAAAAAACTTATTTAAAATCGGTTTCATGCACAAATTCATTTACGTTTTTGACTGGTTTCTTTACAATAAAATTGACTACTACTGTAGATATAATATATTTGGATGTCTTGTAAATAATGTTTAGATAAAATACGAATTAACAATGAATAATATCTTGTAGAATTTTTCGAATTTACGATGGCAGCAGGTTCAAAATTATTTTAAGAATAAAGCGTTGTCAAAATCACGTGATATGATTATATCGATAAAATTTAGTAATTTAATAAATAAATAAAAAAGTACCACAAGTATGAAAACCATAAAACGAATTTAGAATACTCTGGGCTTAACCCTAACTTTCAATTCATCACAAGCTCTAATAATAGAATAGTGAGTTTTCAAAGGTGCATTCTTATCAACCAATTCAAAATCATATTTTCGGTACATCAATACCATATACGCTTTCAATTCCATCATTGCTAAATTTCGTCCCTGTCAAAATTAAAAGAAAAATAATAATCACTTAGTAATTCTTGTAACGTTTAAAAGGTGAACGATAGGGTAAGGATGATTTTACCGGACACATTCTTATACCGCCTCCAAATGTAAGATTCAAAGAATTTTCTCGATTATTCAAAAATCGATCAGGATTAAATTCTTCGGGATTCGTCCAATGAGCTTTATGCATATTTATACCATATTGATGTATATAAATTTGAGTTTCGGCAGGAATTACGTAACCATTTAAAATTTCTTCCTGGGCATTCACACGATAATTAAGTTCTGCGATTGGATGCATTCGAGAAATTTCTCGAATCACCGCATCACAATAAGGAAGTTGGTTTAGTTCTTCACAAGTCAATTTTTGATCACGTGTAAATTTTGAATCGATTTCTTCAAAAACACGCTTCTTCACTTCAGGGTATTTGGCCATAAAATAACTGATAAAGCATGTTGAGGAAGTAATGGAATCAATACCTCCAGCGGTCGTTTCCATAAAGTTACCAATTATAGCTTCATCGGTTAACGGTTCGGTAAGGGTTTCATTAGAAATTCGTTCCATAATACTTCTATCGGTGTTAACGGTTATCATCATGGTAAGCATGTCGGGAGTGATGGGTTCATCTAAAGGAGTATTAGCAATTTCTTCTCTTCGTCGTGTAATAATATTCGTCAAATCATTCATCAAATTGTCTCGTCCTTTTAATAATTGTAAAGTTTTTTGACGGAATCCACCAATAGGAAGATAAAGAATTGATTTTGGTGTTACCATGAAATATAATAAACTGGTAACAAAACTTCCAACCCTTTGAAGGAATTCTTCGGATTCTCTCAATAACGTAGAATCCACGCTAACCTTTTCCCTTGGAGAAAGTTTATTGAAATAGTTTGCTAACGCATAAACCTTTTTATTTGCCGTGATATGAAAGATGTTATCAGTATAAAGTCGACTTAACCACTCGGATAAATCCAATTCATTATGTTCATCTCCATAAAGTTTCTTCCAATAACCTTCCATCTCTTCAAAATTCTTTTCGGACCATACCAAAGCTTGTTTAACAAATGACGGAGTCATTACTGCACGTATAAAAAATTTTCGCAAGTATGCCCACGAGGCATAGTTTCTATTAAATGATATTCCTCTTGATGAAAAACCATATACTTCTAACCCATCATTCACGGGCGAACGGTTAATAAAATTACTCGTTTTCGAGTTTGTTGAATAAATCCTTTCTAACATATCCGCTCTACCTATTCCAATTCCTCTCGTCTTATCACTTGGATGTCCAACATAAAATTCCCAAATATCACCATAATTCTTTTGACATTCTCTACAAAATAATGATATGTCTTCACTAAGTTGAAATTGGTTCCCGATAAATGGAAGTGGAATTGGACCTGGAATTGGGTTTGAACGAGTGAAATACTTGAAGTAAAAATAAGCTATATATGTGAGGATACCTAATCCTAGACTAACAAATATATCATAAATCATTGTAAAATGGTATCGTTAAGGAATATTTTGTTTAGAAATATTGTGAATATCTTTGTTTTTTTTTTTTTTTAAAAAAAAAAATGATACTCACGTTTTTATATTAATTTTTTGTATACGGTTAGCTTTCAATTTTGAACTAAATCAAGATTTTATTGTTGATAGACAATTATCGGAGCAATCATCCCATATTAATGATTTATTAAAGTTTATACATTAGTCTAATCTGGATAAAACCTGATATGTTCATTCGATCGGTGGGAATTTTTTTCATTATTTTACAATTGTAAAAGAAAGATTTCGATTATTAATTTTTATTTCCACCAATACCTACAAAATTAAAATAGCGTACAGAAAATTTTAAGATTCTCTCATATCGATACGAAAAAAACGAAATATTCAGTATGATTAAAGAAAATTTGATCATGAATCCAATATATGGAAGCGCAGGATATTTGATGTAAAGTATCGATTTATTTCGCTTCTTTCATTATTTCATTATATCTTTAAGGATTCTTGGAATAAACCTGATTAGGATTCTCTTCGGATTATTTTTTTAATACCTACAAAATAATACTGTGCTAAATGTGTAACAAAAGAGTCTAATCAAGATGATCATATCCTATATGTTAGATGTTTGGGAAAAAATCGACAAATTAGTCTACCAAAATTAAAGGCGTACCACGACAATCTATATTGTTGCAGATAATCTCGGCCAAACCCTATTTGTTTCAATAGCAATGATGACCGGAAACAATAGAAATAAACTATTATTATTGGTCGGATTAATTATTAAATATCTATGGATATCGTAACAATTTTGATAATCCTTCCAAAAAAAATACGTGCTTTAACAAGAAATATTATTTGAAATTAAAATAGTTACAAGGCGAAAAAGGTACTTAGATTATTGTAAAAATATCTCATTCCTGGCTTTTCGGGAAAAATAGAAAATTGTTAATATTGTTGTATTCAGTTCTTTCGTTTATGACATTTATAAACAATTTTAAATGTAATTAGAAGGTTTTTATTGAGTAATGATGAAGTAATATTTACGCTAAATTGATTTAATAATATCAAATTAATCTGTGTAGCCTCAACGTCGGATGCCTCTACACTTTCGCAATGTCAATATGTTAAATTAAAATAAATGCCAATTACGAATAAACAATAAGGAAAAAAATAAACGAAATTTAAATTTTTTATTTAAAGATAATATTTTTTTATTTAGCAAGTAAGCTATTTTATTAATTATTACTATATAATTAAACTTTTTATTATAATTTAACCTTAACCAAATTTCATTTTAAAAAAAAACATATATATATTACTATTAGAAAGTTATTTTTATTAATTATTAGTATTTAATTAATATTTTTATATTATAAATTTAATTAAAATTTTAAAATTTTATTTAATAATTAATAATATAAATAGTTAGTAAGTGATTTTTATTAATTATTATTTTTATTGATATATATATTTTTTGTAATTAACAACTAAATTTTTATTTATAAATATGTTAAATAATTAATAGATGATAAATTATTTGTATTGATTTTTAATCTTTAAATATATTTTTAAATTTAACTAAATTTTTTATTTTAAATAAAATAGAATGTATGTTATATTTATTAATTATTATTATATAATTAAATTTTTATTATAACTTAAATTAAATAAATTTTTTATTTTAAAAATATTAATAATTAAATTAGGGAGTAAGTTAATTTTATTAATTAATTTTATTAATTATACTTTTTATTATAATTTTTATTTTAATATTATAAGAATTTAATATAAATATATAACAAATTTGTAAATAATATTAATTTTATTAAATTAAGTAAGTATAATATCATAATTATATAAGATAATATAAATAATATTAATAATATAAAATTATCATTAGAAAATAGAAAAATGTTTATATTGTAAAAATATAAATACTGCATATAAATGGTGTAAAGAATGTAATTCTAAATTATTTCAACAAAATTTTTCAAATTAGACTAGTAATAATAAATTTATTGATAAATTTATTAAAGAATCTCAAATAAATGATTAAAATAAAAGATAATTATTAGAATGGATTCCTTATAATAAATTTGAGAATATTGAATATTTTGATAAAGGAGAATTCAGTTCTGTATAAAGCTATTTGGTTAAATAGATTTATAATTTATTATTCATATAATAAAAATATTGGATTAGAAGTAATATTATAATTGTAACACTTAAATGTATTAATAAATCATCTAATTTAAATAAAGAATTTTTAAATGAGGTATATAATTAATAGAAATTTCTCAGAGCCTATCAAATTTATAAATAAGTTAGAATTAATCAAATACAAATAAATACGTAATCAACTTTTTTTACTTGATAAAAAAACTCGATAAAACTCAGTATAGAATTTTTTGAAGAAAAAACATTATTGCTACGTTCAAATCATTGTTCTGAATATAGCGACATAATTTTTTTACCTATATAAAACTGTAGTTGGCTTTTCAACTCTTATAAATGTTTTCAGAAAAGTCTCAGTTATTATCGGCTGTCCTGTGACTTATGAAATTAAGTCCTTTATAGAAAAAAAATATTCATAGCGCTAATACTGTAATTTGATTAGCGCTGAGAAATTTTTATTAATTTAATTGGCACTGACATTTCTAACATTTCCGAATAATCTGACAGTGCTGATAAAAAATTTACATGACCGCAACTTTTGAAATTAGCTGTAAGCATAGCAATTGCCTTGGAGGCCTAGAATATCCGTTGTGAATGATTTTCCTGTAAGTAATTATTATTTAACTCTTGAGATGATGATGAATACGTTGGATATGAATTATTTGTGACATAAAATTTATGATATCAAACAATTACAGTACTTTCATTAAAAGTCCCGAAACTTTTATTTATAAATATTAGGTCTCTGGCAGACGCAATGGTAAAATTATTCATATGTTTTTAAGTTTTTTTTTGAATAAAAATGAATTTTTATACTTACAATTATGTAATCGTTATATTTATTAACCTACTGTAATCTTAAAATATTTTTTGAAGCGTAGAAAGTAAAAAAAAATTACTTGCAGAATCTTTTTTTTGTACAAATCATATTAATAAAGTCATTTCACATATTTATTATTATTTTTTTTTGGATATTTATGGCAGTGTAACATTTCGGTTTATATTTTGAATTTTGGAATGGAATTTCCATTTTCCTAAAAAAAAGGGGATTTATAAACTGACGTACTATACTATATATAAATTAAAAATACAAATTTAGAATATATACTGGAACACAGTCTTTTCATGATATTCATTGCGTCTATACTTTTTTCAGAAAATGTCAATTAATTATATTGTTAAAGCTTGACTCAAAAAAGACTGCAGCGCTAATAAAATCTCTATTTGAATATAATTAACGTAAGCGGGTCTGATTAGGCAGGTCATTATTTGTTATATGATAATTTTTGTGATACGTTTAGGCAGACCTTTATTTTTTTTACAATACTAAATTATATAAAAAAAATTGTTATTTTGAAATTCATATTACCTGTATAGAATTTCTTTTTAAAATTCATAATTATATACATTCTTTTATTTAACAAAATATCTACTTATTCTTTAGCAGATGGTCTGTTACTAGCATTTGGATTCTAACATCTTTTCATTAATTCTGCATATTTAGTCATAGTATCTTTAACAACTTCTAGTTTTTTTCTTCTACAAATATCTAAGGAAAGATTAAAATCATGAGATATAATAATAAAAGTGGGAATATCAGAAGTCATTTCCTACATTTTAATGCTAAGAGAATATATATCAGCAGTTTTTGTGTATGATTTACCATGTAAAATTTTAGATGTTATATAAGGAATTATTCCATAAAGTTTATTCAATTTATTGGATTCATTAGCTATTTTCTTAATCCAAAATTACTGTATTTATAATACATGTATTTCTTAAAAGTATATTTCTACTAAAGAAATTACCATAAATTAAATTATATATATGTAAAGTATAATACATTCTTGTAAATATAAATATTTGTCATATAAATTATATTTTTTTATTAATAAATTAGATCGCAAACTGCCTTGATCCATTTTCTGTAATACAACTATATAATTTAAAATTTCATGATCTTGTGTTATTCCAAATACTCTAATGGTAATAACCATTATTATTCAGCTGAATATGCAAATTCTAAATGACTTTTCTACTAAAATCATAAATTAATAAAATAAAAAATAATAGTTTGATATTATTTTATTAAATTATAAAAAAAAGTCATTTAAAAAATCTTCATTAATGTTTGATGAATTGTCTAAACTTTTTATTATTATTTTTTTTAAGAAGTGATTTAATAGATTTACTTTTTGTATAATCTTCGTCTTTAAGCAGAGCAGATAGAAACTTCACTTGCCAATACTAGTCAAATATATAAAGTATATATATAACCAAATAGCTTTATAAATAGTACTGAACTCGCCTTTAGAAAGGTATTATATATTTCTAAAACTTTCATAAGGTATCCATTCTATAAATTCTACTGATTTTTTTTGTTTTTAATCGTCTATCTTGAATAAATTTATCAATAAGCTTATTTCCACTAGTCCATTTATAAAAATCTTGTTGAAATTTTCTAGAATTGTAATTTTGACACTAAATATATTAAGTATTTGATTAATTGCAATCAGGATATAATCCATATTCTTGATTAACAATTTCGACCCTCATAATATTATCAGACAACTTTTTAAATTAATTAACAATCTTTCTTTAAAACAAAAAGGAGGAAAATTTATGCTTCAAATTAATACAGAAGCGTTTAGAGTTAAAATTCAATGTGAGGAAATGCATATTTAAATACAATTTTTTTAATGTTATATAATGTTATTTCTGCATAACTTTTTTTTATAATCTAATGTTTAGAATGCAATTTCCTTTATCTTTATATTACTCGTATAACTTTAATTCTGACTAATCTTTTTTTGAGC